TGGTCATCTCCACGTGCCTGCCGGTCGTCTTGAGCGGCGGCGACGCGGCGTGGCGCAGTCCGATTGGCCAGCACGTCGCCGGCCGCCCACTCAAGCCTGCCGCACCCACGTCGCCTCAGCCGCCCGTCGGCCCGGCGGCCGCCTGGCCGCCTCGACAGCCATTGGTCCAGCCGGCGCCGCTCGCCGGCCAATGGCCGGTCTGGCAGACGGCGACTCGCCGTGCCGCCGCGCCGTCGGCGTTGGCGTTGGCGGCCGTCTGGCCGCGCTACACGCACCAATCGCTGCTCGTCAGCCCGCCCCAGCCGCTGTTCACCTCGCCTTGGCTGCACCAATCGGAACTCGCGCACGCCTGGCCCGAACCGCGGACAACGGCGACGCCGACGCCGACGCCGACGCCTCGACACAAACTGGCCTCGGACGCGGCCGCCTCGCCTCTCTTCGTGGCTCGGCACCGCCTCGTCGCTTCGGACGAGGCGACGATGCGTTACCGCGGCAGCACGCCCAGCCTCGCCCTTCAGCCCAACCGCCAGCCCAGCCTCGACGTGTACACACACCAACAACAACCGGCACAACGCCAGCAACCGCAACGCGCCTCCGCGATCATGCTGGCCTCGTTCGCCGCGACGCAGACGCCAACGGCGACGCCGACGGCGACGGCGACGGCGACGAATTGGGCGGCAGACGATCTGGCCTCGCCGGCTCGCACCAGCACCAGCACCACCACCACCACCAGCGCCGGAATGACCGGCCGCTCGGTCTTCTGCCTGCACGGGCCGCCCCCCCGAGGCGCGTCGCTGCTCGGCCCGCCCGTCTGGCCGACCAATCGGCGCGCGGACACGTCACCGGAGCCTCGACCAGTGTGTCCTCACCAGCCGGACAGACAGCACCAACAGTACCAACAGCCTCAACAGCATCACCAGCACCAGCACCAGCAGAGCTACATGTACATAATCTGACGCAAAAGCCTCTCTCTCTCTCTCTCTCTCTCTCTCTCTCTCTCTTCGTCTCATCGTCTACTCCGCCTAGCCTCGCCCTCCAGTCACCGGGTGCCTTGGCCATTGCCTTTTCCGTTGCCTTCGTCCCAGCCCCACTCGAACCACGCCCGTAGCACCAGTCGCGCAGACTCTGCTGCCCTGACAACCGGAGCACGCAACTACGCAACACCGACTCTTCTATTCCCTCGTCTCGTCTCGTCTCGTCTTCTTTTCATGCTCTCTTTCTTCTACCTTTTCTTCTCATCTCGTATCGTCTTTTTTCGTTTTCTCTTTCTTCTACCTTTTCTTCTCGTATCGTCTTCTTTTCATTCTGACTTTCTTTTATCTTTTCTTCTAGTCTTTTCATTCTTCTAGTCTAGTCTCGTCTTCTTTTCATTCTATCTTTTCTTCTTTTCTCGTCTTTTTTTCATTCTGTCTTTCTTTTATCTTTTCTTCTCGTCTTGTCATTCTTTATTTCTTCTCGTCTCGTCTCGTTTTTTTCATTTTGTCCTTCTTTTATTTTTTAATCTCGTCTTTTCATTCTGTTTTTATTTTATTTTTCTTCTAGTCTAGTCTCGTCTTCTTTCCATTCTGTCCTTCTTTTATCTTTTCTTCTCGTCTGGTCTTTTTTTCATTCTGTTTTTCTTCTACTTTTTCTTCTCGTCTCGTCTTCTTTTCATTCTCTCTTCGACCTTGTCTTCTCGGCTCGTCTTTTCATTCTGTTTTTCCTCTATCTACTCTTCTCGTCTCATCTTCTTTTCATTATGTCTTTATTCTACTTCTTATTCTCGTCTCGTCTTCTTTTCATTCTGTTTTTCTTCTCGTCTCGTCTTCTTTACATTCTGTCTTTCTTTTATCCTTTCTTCTCGTCTTTTCATTCTGTCTTTCTTTTATCTTTTCTTCTCGTCTCGTCTCGTCTCGTCTACTATTCTCACCGTCTCTACTCCTCGCTTCGCCGCTCTTCTTTCTCTCCCCACTTTTCCGCCCAATTCATACCCACCCTCTCGTCCCTTTTTCTTTCTCCACTCGTTTCGTCTCCTCTTCTCTGCCATCCTTTGCCACCGCACGCAAGAACAGACCGGCCCACCTGCAATGTTGGTAGTCCTCTTCGCCCTGTACATAAAACCTGTAAATATCCACCAGCCACCCTGTCCACAGACAAGTGGTCCCGCCCACTCACCCACCCACCCATTCACCCATTCACCCATTCGCCTTAAACGCCAGCTCGACTTGTCCTCACGACAGTCACCCTCCGTCCGTGGCCAATCGGCCAGCCGATAGATGACCCGTCACAGCACACACACACACACACACACTCTCTCTCCCCCCTCCACCCTATTTCCAGCTTGAGCTACGACTACTTGTAAGACGGGATGACGACAAAAATACACAAATGTCAATTCTTCACGCAAACGACTGTCTCCGACTTGTCTCTGATTGGTTGCAGCGCTGCGGCGCATGGTTGCCAGGGTGAATGAGTAACGGGGCTCGTGGGCACCGGCCAACTGAGCGAAAAGCAACCCTCGTCGAGATTGTATCCGCCAGCACGACATGGCGGCATGACAGGGCGTGCCTCTGTGCAAATCTTCTTCAGAGAGACATCTTCTGCCCAAATGTGCATCGCCGAGTGCAGCCGCGAAATGGGCGACAGGATGGAATGAGGCCAAATGTGAACACGACGCGAGATTGCATTTCCATCGGGTTGTTGTGGCGACTTGCATTTCGTCTGCCAATGCATGAAGAAGCAATTGGGGAGCTCTTTTGCTCAATTGAGTCTGGACGCGAGGAAAGATAGAGCCGAATTCCAGTTCGGCTCGTG